AACTGTCAGTGGTGAGAAATGCAAGCAATACAGGGACCAGCAAACTCATGACTCTGCTCCAGGAAGAGGTGTGTAGGGAGAGTGGGTGGCTGAGGAAGACTCAGTCAGCACAGGAGAGATTGATAACGATGCTGCCCCGGTGTAGGAGCTGAGTATTAAGCCTCTTGGCTGATGCTTTCCTCATCACCCCCTCCCCCTTCCTCCTTTTTACAACAAATGTCTCTTGAAATGGCAGTGGTTGCTAAAATCTCACTAGCAAGTTTGGGACACTGATACACCACGTCCCCCATATCCTGCTCTTCTGGGTGAGTTCCCCTTGATGCTATTAAAATGCTATTCAAAGGAATTCCACTGAAGGAGGCAAGGAAGGGGTGCAAATCCCACTTGGGGATATTGTGCCAATGTCTTTATAAAATGTCATTTTGCAGAAACTTCCTCAATCTACAACTAAAATAAAATAATAAAAACAAACACGTTCCCAATCTGTCCCCATCCCCCCACAGTGTGAGAATAGCCATATAATTCTTGACAGAAAATGCAGAAAGGTAAAGATGACGGCCGGGTAAGGAGACACGCACTCGCCCCTCCCGTGTGGAAGACCAAATGCACACGAACACAGGCAACAATTATTTCTGCGAGACAATGGAGCCCTGAACTGTAAGGGGGAAAAGCCAAACGCCATTTTCTTAAAGCTGAAGCAATAACCCCTACTCTCACTTCTGTAAGCCGCTTGGCGCGCTGACCATCCACCTGCTCCAGCAGCCTTGGGCAGGAAACCCTGAAAAAAGGGCTGCTGAGCAAGCTAAAAACTGTTAGCCCCTCGTTGCTCACCCCACCTATCCTGCTATATAAAAAGGAAAGGAAACAGAAGTTCGCCGCCCAGACTTTGGGAGGCCACTACTCTTGGTCCGCATGTGTAATAAAGTTCCCTTCGTTACTCTCGGCCTCGCTAAGTCATTCCGGCGCCTGGTTTTCTGCAACAGAATAACCAGCTTGTGACAGGAAACAACAGAAAGAGTCTGCACGGGGAAGCCGAGGGAGCGGCGGGAACTCTCTGCGCCTGAGGAGGCGTCATGTCCCCTAACTAGGTGGGGTGGCCGGACCTCTAACCTAGGGCCGGGGCCTACCTGCTAGATGGCTTCAGCTGGGTCCCAGCTACACGGCCTGTACCTTTGGCCTCCGGCAGAGGGAACAAGCAGGAGCAACAGGGTGTCACCAGAGCCACTGGCTTCCCTGTTGAGGGGTGCCTGCATTCTGGCTCGTTCCCCGGGCGCCCATGAGCACATACTCCGCTCCAAGCCACTTTTCCCACAACCACCCGCTCTGCGTGTCTGGCTCGTGCCCCAATACGGCGGACACGTGCTTAGCTACACGTGGCTTCCCATAAGCACCCGCTCCGCCTATTAGGCTTGTGACTCAGATGTCGAGAGCGCATGCTCAGCTCCAAGCTACTTCCCACAACCACCCGCTCTGCGTGTCAGGCTCGTGCCCCAAATGCCGAGGGCACGTGCTTAGATCCACGTGGCTTCCCACAACCACCTGCTCCACCTATCAGACTCATGCCCACTCCCCTCCCCCCCCCCGTGCTGAGAGCACATGTTCAACTGGACGGGGCTTCCCACAACCACCCAGAACACAGAGCTGCAGAGCTTGCTTCTGCACGGATCACTTTCAGTGCAACAAACCAGAGAGAGGAAACTTGGGAGCCCTCCAAAGTTAGAGGGGCTGGTGATCTCCATGGTTTATATCTCCTCCACCTCCAAAGGGTGGGCAGGGGCTCTATCCAGGTGCTCTGGCCTGCATAGGACAAAGGGAGCAAGCAGGACCAACGGCGTTATTACACACACCTGGTCTCCCCACCTGGAGCCCATTACTGTTTGGTGGGCCAGTGCTCTGGACGACTTAGGTACCACTCAGTTCCTACCAGCCTGTGAAAACCCTGTGGCACACAGTCTACACAGAGCCGGCTTCTATATAAGGCCACTTTCCCAGGACTGGAAGAGACAGCTATTTTGTTTAATTCACATAAACAAACATAGAAAGTCAAACAAAATGAAAAGACAGAACATCTCTTGAATGAAGGATTAAGAAAATTGCCAGAAAAAAAAGAAAGAAAAACCTAAGTAAACAAATAATTTGATAAAAGATTTCAAATAGATGGTCGTAAGGATCCTCATCAATCTTGGAAGTAGAATAGAGGAACTTAGAACTTCAGCAAAGAGAGTATAAGAAAGAACCAAGCAGATCTTAAGAATACGAAATAACTAAAATGAAAAACAGAGGAAATCAACAGATTAGCTAATGGTCTGTCTCTAAGTAACCAAAGCAGTGACCTAGAGATAAACTAGTGGAAATCAACCAATCAGAACAAAAGAAAAAATAATTAAAAACAAGGGAAAAAAAGATAATCTAAGGGACATCTGGGTCAACATCACACATGCAGATATTTGCATTATAGGGATGCCAGAAGGAGAGGCAATAAAAACATAAACTTTATTTAAATAATGGCTGAAAATGTTCCTAACCTGGGACAGGGAACAGACATCCATGTCTAAGGAAGCACAGAGAGCTCTAAACAAGATGAAGCCAAAGAGACGCACACCAAAACAAAATTGAAAGGCAGAGACATCCTTGAAAGAAACATGAGAAAAACCAGTTACAAGCAAGGGAAACCCTGTAAGTCTTGTCAGTTGATTCTCATCAGCAACTTTAGAGGCCAGAAGGGAAAAGCAGAACCTCCTTCGAGAATTCTTCTCTGCAGAGTGGGGCCTGCTGACTTCTCCCTTGACTCTAGAAGAGCCAGGTGTGATAAGTGATAAGCTGAAGAACCCCAGTTGCTCCAGGGTTTTTACTGGAGACAAAATTCCATTTCCTGATACTCGTGCCACACTGGGAACACCTAGGGGAAGTCTCTTCACCTTGCCAAGATGGAAAAGAGCCCAGGACCAGGCAGATCAGGTCAATCATTGGACAGGGAAAAGTACAGCATAGAATCCATGAGCAGGCACTATTTTCATCCAACAATAAAGTCCTTGATCTATTTTTTAAAAGAGAGAGAGTGTGTGCAAAGTAGCAAGGGAGCTTGCAACCTAGAATAATTTACCCAACAAGAAATTCAAGGAAAGAGAGGAAGAGAAACAAACAAACAAACAAACAAACAAAAAAGAAATTCAAGGAGCGGGGGGCTCCCCAAACAAGCAAAAACTAAAGGATTTCATCACTGCCATTAAACCAACCTTAAAAGAAATGATAAAGGGTCTTCTTCAAGTAGAAAAGGAAAGGCAATAACCAGAAATAAGAAAATATGAGAAAGGGAAAACCTTCATGGATAAAGCCAAATATTCAATAAATATAGCAAATCACACATTTAAAAAGCCACTACAAAGGTTAAAAGAAAATTGTATCAAACTCAACTCAAACTACAATAAATAGCTAGGAAATACACAGCAGAAAAAGATCTAAAAATATGACATCAATAATATGAAGCATGTATGGAGGAGTAAAAATGTACTCCCCTTAGAGAATATACTGGAACTGAAACATCAATGAGCTCAAAATCGACTGCTATAAAGAATGATACACATAAACCTCATGGTAACCACAAACCAAAAACCTACAAAGCAAACTTAAACAATACACTAAAGTAGAAGAACAAACCTCAAGAGAGGCGATCAGAAAAGAAAGGCACAGAGGGCAACTATAAAAACAACCTAAAAATCACAAAGAGCCCCCCCCCCCCCCCCCCCGTACAACTTTAGAAGGCAGAGAATAGGAGCAGCTCCTTGGGAGAGTAAGGCAGACCTCACCAGCCAGTTTCTCCATGACATCCAAGGATTTCATGTTAGAGTGGAAGCCAACGAGCTTTTCTTCCTGGAGCTCAAATCACTGGCATATTAACCCAGCCTCAACTTATCCAGTTCCCACTCCTAGAAAGCTTAGGCTAAGCCAGGTAGGCAAAGCAGCAACAGCCAGCAGTTTTTGACACAACTAGTTCTCTATTTTTTGGAGACACCCTACAACTCTCCCCGAAAACAATGAGGGTTCCATATTTACTAACCAAAGAGGCAGTTCTCAAGAAATGATTAAGTGGGCCTAAGAATATATATGAAATAATAGCTTGCCCAATCATAATAAAAGCCATTTTATTTCTAAGTTGTTTTTCTAAACTACCAGGTCCAGGCCCTCCCACTGGGCCCCACCTCTTCCCACTCCAGCCTTGTGCCCTCATTCCCAGTCACCAAAGTCACCTTGCTGGCCTGCATCTCAAAAACATCCATACCAATACACATGTGGTCCACACCAAAGGGTTTTTTTTGTTTTGTTTTGTTTTTTGTTGCCATTGTTGTTATTGTTTGTTTGTTTTATTAAAGAGCCTATAGTGTTGAAGCTCCAGAATTTGGAAGGTCATTCTCCACTGCTTCCGCCAGGCCCGGCGATGAGCTCCTGGCAGCTGGAGCCGGTGTTGGGGAGTAAGGCAGAGGAGCCCAGCTGTGCTGCTCATCACTCCCTGACAGCTGTCAGAAAGGCAAGTGTGAGCTGCAGTTCCAGTTCAAAGGTTCAGGGGGCACACAGCTTCTATGTGGCCGGTCCCATGTAGTCACCAGTCTGACCCAGGAGGACACGGTGGAGGGGAGAGATAAAGCAGGCCTGCCCTCTGGCAAACAGGGCAGAGAAAAGGAAAAGGAAAGTCAACAAAGGAAGTGAAATCAGAGGGGAGCAGGCGTGCCATGTGTGTTCCATGCAGCAAGCACCCTTCTCATAATGGTCTCCCCAAGGGTCCCCCTCCTTCCTGCAGAGGCCAACATACGGTCCTTGCAGGCGAGGGCTGCACAGCACTGTGCCCAGGGGGGTTTGGGAACCAGAGGACCCTGCAGCTCTGGCAGCCGCTTCTCAGGAAACTGAAGAATCTGAAAAGCGGGTGAACAGAGAAAGGCTAGAGTTTTCAATCCAAAGCAATGATGCAATTAACAGGCAAATAAATACACAAACCTTGCAGAAAGCCAGAAAAGAGGAGATTAAAAAAAAAAGTACGAAACACCTTTCCAGAGAGAACAGAGTCCCAGGGCCCCAAAGGCACTGCCAGTCCACTTCAGCAGAAGCATTGACCCTGGGGAAACAGCGAAATGGGAGCCTCTATCAACCTGAGAAGTCAACCTAAGTCCCCACTTCCAGAAGCCACCTGAACCCTTGACCCACACCTGTGGTACCTGCTGAGTTCAGTGGCTTTCTAATCCAGCCTGGCTTAAGACCAACTTTAAATACAGTCCCTGATATTCAAAATTATTTGTGAACTAGCTATGCTTAATTCTGCTGAACACTTTAAAAAGAAAAGAAAAGGGAAGAAAAGGTGAGGTAAGGTGAGGTGCCACAAATGTGTGTACTTCTGCTATGGGCTGACCAGCTCTAAGCACTTTCACTTTGAACTTTCACACAGTCATTCTCAACATAAGGCTAGAACTTGACCAAGCCTGAAAGATCAGCAAAGGTTCAGACATCTAGAACGTCACAGATCCAGGAGAGCAGGGTGTCAGAAATCCTAAATACACAGATGGAGATCCTGCAGGCTTTTTGGGAAGGGTTCTTGATAACTTCGGTCTCTTTTACTTTTGTCAGCCGTTGCTTTCAAATTAACATTTTTTAAGTCAATACATTCTACCCTTCGACCTCTTGAGAAGGAAGAAAAGGTGACATTTTAAAGGGGTGTCCAGAGGGTGGTAGAGGTGATTCTCCTGCAGTGACATTCTGAGCAGGCGTGACACACACAAACATGCCAGAGTTTCATAAATAATGTTTGTCTTGGCTTCAACACCTCGGAGAAGACGGCTTCCAGATCCCTCACACTCAGGATGCAGCTGATCAACTTTCCACAGGAGGCCAACAGGCTGGAAAACAGGTTTTACCTAAAAGAAAAGGAAGAGTGAGTCAGTGCCTTCCTGCAGAGCTCCACACCACAGAGCTCTGACCCCTCCCTAACAGTCTCCATCCCATGCGGCACGCTGCCTGACCACAGGACCTTTGAACATGCTGCTGTCTGGAAGGCAAATGAAACTCCTCCAGGTAATTCCTTCCCTTCCCTCAGCTCCCAGCTTGGGATCTTTTCTCGGTTCCCCACATAGACCTGCCAGCCCACAACCTCTTTTCTCCATGTATCCTTCCTTCCTAGTACTTCTACAGGTGTTTTAGTGAGGGCTCAGCAAAAGTTTTATGTGTGAGTCCACAAAGTAAGTATTTGTGACCCAACTCACTGCTGTGGGGCAAAATCAGCCACAGACAGCACAGATGTTTGGGTATGACCATGTTCCAATAACACTGTTGTATGAACACTGAAATTTGAATCGCATATAATTTTTAGATGCAGTTTGCCGACTCCCCGTTTATGTGATCATCTGATTCATGTCTGTCCTTTGCTTAATCTGGAAGCTCCTTGCACGCAGACCCTTGTCTGAGTTCACTCACCTCTAAAATCTGTTGAAGACATCACCTAAAAGGACTTAGAAAAGGAGAGAAGTCTGAGAGGTCAGAGCCACCACCATCACGGGCATTATATAACCACATGTGGACAAAGACTAGGGATTTAATAGGATTGATTGATAAAGTAATAACTACTTCTCCTAATGTATGATCTCAAATATAAATATTATCACACCAGGTAACTATTTACTAAAAGATATGGACACCCTATTTTTAGGAAATATATACTTAAGTATTATTTACATATAATATATGTAACTTACCCTCAAACGGTTCAGGAAAAAAAATCTGTATTCACACATAGAGACCCATCATTGGACAAATGAGGCGAAATGTTGAAATAGAAAAATCTGGGTAAAGAGTGCTCCCTATACTATTTTTTTTAGGTTTAAAATTATTTCCAAACAAATAATAAGGTCAACAGACTGTAGAAAATGAAGACAAATCCCCATAGCCATGTCCAAGCTGTACAGGCTGGCTCTTTACAGCAACCAGTGCCACTCCTCCTGGTTGAAGAGTGCCGGCTAACTCCCACTGACCTACGTCAACAGCCCAGGCACTCACCCCGCCCTACAGATGCAGCCTGAGGGTAAGCCTCCCACTGGGCCGGCTCCACAGTCAGGTCTCCCACTGCATCCCCTGTAAGCTCACTGATGAGGATGAGGGATGGGAGCACAGGGACTGGGGAGCCAAGAGTCAGACCAAAGTGAAAGGACTCAGTTTTTGATACCTACACCAGAGCAGACGTGCACAGGAACCAAAGTCAACCACAGCAGGCCTGCTGACTCTGGGCAGGGGAAATGCCAGAATCCACAGAGGTGTTAACTTTATATACCTTCAACCTGCTAAGGATTCACCTTTAGGACATCCCAACATTTCTGATCTGGTGACATGCCATCTTACAGATGTCCCAAGAGCATACCCCAAGGATGTTCTGCCAGGTCCCCTGCCTGCAATGTAACCCCATGTGCAGCTGCTGATACACCCCGTGCTGATAGGAATAAACACCCACAGGATGGGAAGAGTCAAAGCAGATGGTGGGAGCCCTCCACAACTCATCCGGCATGTCACTAATCCTTGGGTTCCTTCCATGGCGGAGCTAAACCTCCAGAGTCGCTGTTGGAAAACAGAACACAACAGATCTTTCTCACACTTCCATGAGAAGCGATTGCTCTGGGTACCTGAGAACTCCCATGAAGGTCACTGGCTGTTGGGAATTCCCCACAATGATGTGATCCCATCCCAAGTCTGAATGGGGTAGCTGGCTGCCCTTCAGACCCTCTGGTGCAACCGTGACTCGGGAAGTTGGCAGGACTGTGGATGCAGGGACAGGGTGAAGAGGCTGGCGGTCAAGTTCCAGCCCTCTTCACTGCATCTGTCTCCCCGAGGTTCTCCCCCACGGAAGGGGGTGCAGAGGTGCACAGCTGCAGCTCACCTGTCGACCCCTACGCTCACTCAAACCTACTTCTTCCTGAAACACCCTCACTGCCCCCTGCCCCTTAATCCATTTTAGGCTTGTTCCCTGGGCCTTTCAAACCTTCCATAAGCTTCACCAACTCTGAGAAGAGCTTCCTGCCTGAAACAGGTGCCCCTCCTGGCTGCCCACAGCACTCCTCCCTGTGGCACTTACCAGGTCACCCTGTGTCAGAGTTCCTGGTTGTCTTCCTGTCACAGCACAGGCTCCTGGAGAGCAGGGCCAAGCTCACCAATCCTGCACTCACGGGGAATGAAATGAGCAGGATCTTGAGCTGGACACGTAAAGAGCATGTCCAGCTCAAGAGCGTGACAAGCAAAGATTTCTAAGAAGACTCTCTCGACCCCTTACTTCCCCCCCAGCACCGCCAAACTGTTAACGACACTCCTGCATCATCATCGAAGTAAACCAGAAAGGATGTCAGGGTGCCCCTCTGCCCCTGCCCTCCCTGGAAACCCCATGAGAAGTGAAGGCACATTACGATACTGTGACCCATGCTTCTTCCTTCCGGATTTCCCATTGTCCTGTACAACAACATTGGCTTATCACCATCCCGGAGGAGAGGAACATGTCCCCACCTGTCCTGCAGGAAGCTTGTCTGTTAGTGGACACAACCCTGAACATGAAAGTACCTGTTCATCACCCTGGCTGCTGACCTCTTGGTGCATCAAGCAAGGATGTGGCTGGAACAGGGCACAGAGGCCACGGGAATAAACCACGACAGAGAAGGAGAGGGAGGAAGAGAGGCCCCATTTGTGAGCGTGCCCAAGATAGACAGACACGAGGATTACTGCGTGTCATGGGAGCCCTCTGCCATCCCACCATCTTCACCCCAGCACAGCAAAACGGGGAAAAACAAATGTGGCTAGCTTCTACAAAAGCATTGCTAGTTAGGGTTATTTGTGTTGTTTTGGGTTTTTTTTCTCTCTTTCTTTTTTTCAAACAGATTCTTAGGTACCACTATAAACTGCATGTGAATAAGTCAGATTTAGTAGTAAATTTTCATTGCCACAAAAATTCTTGTTCACATAGCCTTGTCCCTTATAGACATAAAACTCAAATAGTTTTAAGATGCACAATACCGTAGCCAAGAACTGCCCCCCAAGGGCTAATATTGCTATTCAAAAAAAACAAAAATGCCTTGTGAAATGCCCACTTCTAACACATGAGCTCGGTCTTCTGCAAGAAGGAGGGTGGCACAGCCTTATTCGCACTGGTTCAGGGGCAGCCCCTGATGATGTTTCAGGCCCAGGTTGGATGTTCCCATCTTCGGGGGGACCTGCAGGGCCCTGGGTCCCTTTCGACTTGTTTCGGGCCTCATAAGCTCACAACATCATTGCCTCTACACAGTCCACATGCAGATGCGCTCCAAAGAGCTTCATTCCCCATCCTCAGACCATGAGGAATTACGGGGTGGGCACAAGGGCCTTGTGCCCACCCCAACCACTCAGGAAGTCCCTGCCCTGAGTGTGCGTAGCAACTGCCACTGGGTGCTCCTGAGGACCCTGAGCCCTGGGCCTCAGCCCAGGAATAAGCAAATCAAGTCTGTTTCTCCTACTCCCCGCGTTGCCTCCAGGGTCCCCTCGCAGCAAACAGCCACGACATGCCCTTTGTTCCAAAGACGAGATGCCAGGCATGGCCTCCAGGGTTGCAATGGAAATCTCATCAGTTTCTAATTAAATTCCCACCGGAAGCTCTATCCTCAAGAGGGTGGGAGGCAGGCGATTCTGGAACAATTGCCTGCACCCCCACAGGCCACATTTTCCCCAAACCTAAGAAGCAAAAGAACAAGGGCCTCCCTCTTGGGGTTGGCAGGAGAAGTGTGTCCTCCCAGCACCATACCTTGGGGCAGCATGTGTCACACATGCCAGTGCCACCTACCAGACAAATGGGAGGAAGGACAGCATCTGCCTTGCCTTAGGGGATGCCCAGAGAGTGTCATAAAAGTCTCCTGTAATGAACCAGGGATGCAGAGAGGCCCAAAACAGCAGCCCCAGCTGCATGCGAGGCCAACCAAGCTCAAAACACATGCAACCAGGATTTAATAGCCTTTTGAAATATGGAACCATTTCAAAGTCCCAGGGTTCTCTGTACTCTGTTTAGCCACCATTTACTCTCTTTTAATTAGCCTTCTTAAGTACAGAGTTGGGATCTCTTTTCTACCCCCACCCCACATACACACACCAAACTCCAGGCCCTACACATTAGAGGCCATATCTCATGTATTCTAACATCCCAGATGTTGGAAGCCTAAAAGGAAGGCTGCCTGCAGCCTCGCCCTGCCCACCTTCTCTCTGTTTCCTGCTTGGCTGAAGCAGGCAGGATCTAAGTCACGAGATGTTATCAGAACTACACCCGTGTAATAGTAAGAGCTAGGGTACTGCCTGGCTGCCCTGGCACCAGGAACATGATCTTCCTCTTTGCATTCACTCATGAAATCACTCAAGGTCATGATCCAGCCACATCCGATTTAAACGTACTATGTCCCAGAATGAACCAAAACATTTCGTTGAGCTACGTCTAAACAGGAAAGACAAGGACCTGTGAACAGATGATCACATGTAGACAAAGTAGTTCTCAAAAACACTAAACAGAACATAAAGTTACCCTTAAAATTGTTGTTCTTTTCAAATGTATTGACCTGAAAAGTTGTCCATGATATGCTGTTCAGGTGAAAAATGTTCCAGGACAGCATGTGTTGCATGGTCCTGTTTCTGTCAAAAAAGCAAGTTCCACATATGTACTCACACACACCCTAGTGGCTATCGCGAAGCAAGGAGATTAATTTTATTTCCCCTTTTTCTTATCTGTATTTCTATACCATACATTGCACTGGTAACGTAAACAGCCTCTAAATGGTCTCTCTAAATGGCCAGACGTCTTTGAGCCTGACAACTACAGTAGTCCTGTGTCTAGTGATTTATTTCAGGTTCATTCCCATCCTTGTATCATTGCAACCATGAACAGAACAAGCTTCTGACGTGAGCTACTTGAAGTACAGTTCTTCCCGACAAACAGGGAGGTGGGCTGGTCCTGGATGATAAGGAAAGCTGGTGGGAGGCAGCTGAAGTAGATCAAGTTACAGAATAAATACTCCAGGAAGGAAGGCTGAAAAGGAATGAGCTAAAATATTCAATGGAAGTTAGAAAAAAAGAAGGGAATGCACCCAAAGAAAGCTTCAGGAAGAGAAGCAGAAGTCAATTGGAAATGATAATATACTAGAAAAGATCAAAGAAGCCAAAGTTTGTTCTTTGTATAAATGAATTAAAATCAAACTTCCAGGAAGCTGGATCAAGAAAAACATAACCAATATTAAGGATGAAAAGGGACCATGAGCACACATGCTACCAAGATTAAAAAGATGACAATAAGAGAATGTTGTGAACAACTTTAGGAAGATATATTTGAAAACTTAGATGAAATGGACAAAATTCCAAAAAAAAATACAACCCATCACAACTGATCCAAGAAAAAAAAAGACTAAATAGTCCTATAAATATTCAAAGAACTGATCAATAGTTTTTAAAAATCTTTGCACAAAGAAAGCATCAGGTTATTCGCAGCCAGTTTGGGCAAGATCTAGTAAAGATCCAGGAAACGAATAATTCTAATCTGATACCAACTACTTCAGAGAAAAGGAAAACAAGTCACACACCCCAATCTGTATTAAGAGGCGAGTCAGACATTCGCCACAGCCTGGACAAGGATATTCCAAGTTTAGAAAACCACAAACCAATCTCAGTCACTAAGAGGTACAAGAGAGTCCTAAACAAAACATTAGCAAACTGAATACTGCTTTTATTTAACAGACTGTATCTTTATCTAATAAAAAATATGAGTTGTGAAATATAAGAAAATCAGCAGACTAAATGCAGCAATGTATAAAAAGGTAACACGACCATGACCAAGCTCATTTTATCTCAGGAACGCGAAGCTGGTTTAATGTTAGAAAAATCAATGAATAAAATTCTACCACCCTAACAGAGTAAAGGAAAAAGTATGATGTTTTCAATAGAGCCAGAAAAAGCATTTAACAAAATTTGACATTAGCAAATTAGAAATAAGAGACTTCCTGGTTAAAAAAAAAAAAAAAGAAGATTTTAAAAATCTTGTAGCAAACACTACTCTCCTCTGTCAATACAAAAAGCATACCCTGTAAGACCAAGAACAAGACAGGACACCTGTTATCATCACTTCCATTTAACAATGACTTAAAGGCCAAAAAGGAGTATAAGAAAAAACAAAAAGAGGGAGAGAAAAAATGTTGAAGGACTTGGGGGGTTGGTCCTAGCTTCAGATGATATATGTATACAGAAAACCCCAAAAATCCCCATTGATACTACTAGAATCAATAAGAATTTAGTGAAGTTGCTATATTTTTAAAAAATCAGTATTGTAAAAAATCAACTGCGTTTTTAAACATCATGAAGAAAAAGTGAGAAAAACAGTGTTTTTAAAAAGATACCAGAGACCAAGTCTCAGATCCTGTGACAAGGGCTTACGGAGGAACCTGTCTTTGAAGCTGTCCCCAGAGCGACCACAGAGCAAAGCTGGCAGCGCCGGAAGCAGAAACCCAGGACCAGAGACTGATCCTGAGGGACACAGGAGCTCAGTATGACAGATGATCTGGGGTCAAAGACTAACACACGTGGCTTGGCTGGGTCCTGAGTTTCTGCCTAGAACGGTGATGGCGGAGAGAATTCCTTTGTTATAAGTTACCACGTGTGCAAGGGCCCTGCTATCGTGTCAGAGAGTGAGTGCCGGTTACAAGGAAACACGCCAAAGCATACTTGGAGATGTGGTTTCTTACCTGCCCTTTGCCCTTGCAACTGTTCTTTCAAAAGCAGAAGTAGTATCTGCTACCTTAACACCTACCAAGTGGTTCATTGACTCATTTGCCTTTGGAAACGAAATCGCATTGTGGAAGAAATGCCTGCACCTCCATCTTCCCGGCAGCATCATTTCCCATGGCCAAGATGTAGAAACAACCTTAGTATCTATCGGCAGATGAATGGATAAAGAAAACGGATATACATGCAGTGGAATGTTATTCAGCATTTAAAACAAAAGGAAGTCTTGCCAATAGCAACAATGTGGATGAACCTTGAGGACATCGTGCTAAGTGAAATAAGTCAGACTGAAAAACACAAATGCTGTATGATCGCACTTACAGGTGGTATCTAAAACAACCAAACTCATTTTTTTTAAAAATCAGATTTGTGGCCACCAGAGGTGGGTGTGTTGAGGATGGGGGACTGGGTAAAGGCAGTCAAGAGACACACAAACTTCCAGGTGTGAAATAAATAAAGTACTGAGGATATATATAATGTATAACGTGATGGCTATTGTTATAGTTAACACTGTTGTATGGTGTGTTTTCAAGCTGTTACAGGAATAGATCCAAAAAGTTCTTATCACAAAGTAAAAAAAAAATTGTAACTATAGGAGATGACAGATGTTAACTTACTGTGGTAATCATTCCACAACATGTGTATGTTATTCTGCACACCTTAAACTTGTACAGTAATGCTTGTCATTTATACCTCAATAAAACTGAAAAAAAAAAACATTTAAAAACTCATTTGCTTTTGGTGGTGAGTGTCATAGCCAGCAGCAGCGCCTTAACCATCAGCCTGGAAAAGAAACCTGCTCTACTAGTTGAAGAACCCAGACAAGTAAGGGAAGTTTCTTCATCTGACTGTGGTTTCAGTATGAACTTTATCTTCGTGACAGCTGACTCGGCATCAACCTCGCAGTCTAGGCGACAATACTTGTATCTGTGTACTCAAGAAGGGGCCCCCTTTTCCACCCTACACTCAAAAAAGAGCCTACAGATAGAATTTCTGGACAGGGTGATTGTCCTATTTCTCTGCTGGGGCCTTTTCTCATTTCGTGAGATCTGAGTCTACATCAAAAATGGCTCAGCGTACTGCAGCTCCCATGGAGCTACTCTGGTCACCAAATTTGGATAAAACTCTATTCAGTGGCTCAGAATCAAAACAGGACATCAATCCACTTAAACCATCAAGTGCTCCTATTTACAGCCCCCCAGGCCTGGGGCCTGCAGGGTGCAGCAAACCCTTCGTATTGTGACTGATGATGAACATATAGTTTTCTTCACATGACGTTTTATTTCCATGCATTGAACATGAGGTGGACAAAATGGTTTAGCAATAAAATCAGTACAGTCACTACCTTTCATACGTGTATATTATTTTTGCAGTATGGATGAACTAATTGTTTGGATTATTTTCAAAAGGTGCTGCTCTTCACCAAAAGTGTAAATTATAGGCAATGATTTGTTCCCCAACTCTGCTATCTATAACCAAGCTGTGTTTTGTTTATGTCTTTTAGGTGTGATTCATTAACAAATTATTTCTAATATCAGTAATGTATGTACATATGATACTACAACCATTTTTTAGACATGAATATAGAAAATGGTAGTTTTAAAGCATGAATGTCTCAAAATATAAAATACCTGGAAATATATCTAATGAAAATTTGTAATAGATTTACAGAGAAACTTTTGAAAGTACTGAAAGACAGCTTTGAAAATATCTGAAAAATGGTAAGTCATTTCATGTTCATGGATTGGAAAAGTCAACATAAAGTGGCTGATTCTCCCTAAACTGATCAAAAGAGTCCACACAGCTCTAGCCAAAACCCCAAACATTGTCGTGCTGAACCTGAGTACTGATTTATACAGGAGGACTGAGGGCCAGGGAGAGCCAAGGCCGTGCTGGAGGAGTCGGGGAGATGTGGGAGATTGACCTTCCCAGGCATGGAAAAGCTGTGGATGATGGTCAGTTTCATGTGTCAACTTCACTGGGTCACATGGTGCCCAGATGTTTGGTCAAACATTATTCTGGGCATGTCTCTGGGATGTTTTTGGATGAGATTAACAATTATATCTGAAACCTGAGTAAAGCAGATTGCCCTCCCCAGTGTGGATGGGCCTCATCCAATCTACTGGAGGCCTGAACTGAACGAACAACTAAGGAAGGAGAATTTGCTCTTCCTGACTATTTTTGAATCGGGACATTGGCCTTCTCGTACCCTGAGACTAGAACTTACACCTTTGGCTCTCCTGGTCCTCAGTCCTTCAGGGTTGGAGCTTTATAAATAAATCTTTTTCTCTATATGGATATAGGATTGTTTTCTCTGGAGAGCCCTGAGGAACAAAGCTCAGAATTGGGTCTGATGTAGATTTGTGTCTTACCTTTGCCACTAATAACTGAGACCTTGGGCAAACAACATCCCCTCTGTGGACCCCTGAGCCCTCATCTCTAAACTATGTTCACCCCCAGCTCTCACACTGAGAATCCCACACATCTGAAGTACATCCCCAAAGGACCCACCAACCACACTCCCCTCTTGAAGTCACAACATCATCCTGACCTTCCCACAGGCTACCTGCAGAAAACACACCTGGCATTCAAGTTTATCAGTAAACGCCATGCTCACTCCCTGCTCCGGGGAATCGATTTAAGAGAGGCTGAAAGAGAAGTTTCCATTTTTGTGTATAGTGTGTGACAGATGGGGCTGCTCAGACCAAGTCCCCCAGAGCAAGTACAGGAAGAGCGTCTTGTCTAAAATTCAGTCCTCCCTTTCCTCCTGGAAAGCGGACTTTTCAGTGTTGGCACTTGGGAAAAGTAGGCAATAACTGTTTCTCTGTACATGTTTCCTGTTGCTTTCTGGGTGTGTGTGCTGTTGCAGGGATCAGAGCAGTTGCTCCCTAAGCAGCACATCCCAAGGTCAAACACTTGACCAGAGAACAAGAACATGTGCCTGGCCTTGTGGGATTTTCAAAGGCGAGCGTCCCACCACCCCAAGCCCGGGAACCCAGGAGGCAGCTGCTGTCCCCACGGGTACCTGTATTTGATGTCAAATACTGTGGAGTCCTCATCCTCATCATCCTCTTCATTTAGTGGGGCCATTTCCACTCGCTCGGCTGGAGTGGTGATGATGTCATACTTGCGGGTCTTCTTCAACCTCTTTCCTGACCTGGAAGAGAAGCACATTCCTGAGAACTCCATAATCCCCACCGAGGCAAACCACACTGCTGTCCCCAACCCGGGTCCCAAGAGACCTGGCAAATACCCCAGCTCCTGGCCTTGATAACCCTGGTGGTCCTCACCCACACAACAGAGATGATTATACCTGCTCTGAATGCTAGAAACCCCAGTGACCAAAATAGATAATAATAATAATACCCAGGAACAACATTTTTAAACGGCAAAATCAATGCGAAGAAAATCCATGATGAACAAAAGGTCAAAATGTTCAACAAGGACGGGAGCCAGCCCTGCACTTGCACGGCCATGACACACCCTGCGGCCAGGCCCCGCCCCCTTCACCCTCGGCCCGGCCCTGCGGCCAGATGGCCACTGCTCCAAGCACAGGTGGCCCCGCTGGCATTAAGAGTGCTGCCCCCTAGGCCAACCACGTGGGATTTGGGTCAGAGCCTGGCCGCTTGCTCCCTGTGTGGTCATGGGCAAGTGAGTTAATCTCCCTAAGCCTCACCGTCCTCATAAATAAAACGGCATAGGAATAATATTTGCCCCGCCCCAGGCGAGGGGGAATTAAATGAGATGATGCGTGCAACAAGCCTGTACACAGGAGGCTCTCAGCAGAAATGACTGTTAGTAAATATAATAAACAAATGGAAGTGTTATAGCCTCTCTTCTATGACCGGGACTTATAAAAATGAGTCAGTATTATATCCATCATGAGGATTTATGAGGCTACTGGGTTGTAACACTAAGCTTTTACCTCTGAAATAATAGAGGACCACTGTGGGCCACCAGGAAAGTGCTGAGACAAGGCCTTCAGTCTCCAGTGTCATTCTGTCTGCGTGAAGGATGCGACATTTATCAGGGAATGGCTGAGCGTTCATGATGCCACTGGGAATACTGCTATTATTATGACTACTGATGCGCTTTGCATTTATTTCTCCAGTCTCCTGAACTCTTTCCCAAATGCCTTATCTTCTCCAGTGTCCCTCCTTTTTAAGTGTATTCGATACGGTCTACGAGAAACCAGCCGATCCCCAAAAATCATAAACAGGGCGCTGAAGAATCACATTCTCCAACCATTCTTCCTGCAGAGTATAAGCCATTCCCGATGGAGACCATGTCAAAGGCTCATGTGAGAGCTCTTTGTCCTTGGCATGCACAGACTCTCTAAGTCCACAAAACAATGAAAACACAGGTTTACTTTCAAAGTTTCATCCCAGTTTCTTAGCAACATCAATTTGCTCGTCTTACCTACCTAGTATGATTTACCAACAATACAACGTATTATATGTGAATAACACTCCCAAAGTCATTTGAGTTCTCTGGGTAGAGACTTTGGGAAACAGAAAGAAACTAGCTATAAACCTTGAACCCAAAGTCTCATCACAGCACAATTTGTCCTCCATGCTTTTATCACTGGGGAGGGATGGAGGGAGGGAGACAGAGAGAGAAAGAGAGAGAGAGAGACGGGTGTGAGACTGCTTGGATTTTGAACATGGGATGACGCATACTGCCCGAACCAAGCCTGGTGACAGGAGATAAGAGGGGCAGCATAGCCAGTTCCTCCCCAGTGGTCACGGGACAATGGTATTTTTGAAGCAGGCCTTGTGCAGGGGTATAAATGTTGGCTTTATAAAAACACCACTGGCCCCACATTCTCACCATCAACAGATTCTTGATTTAGCTCCACCTCCCCACAAAGGAGTAAAATAAATCTTTGCATCCTGCCCTAGGTGACTTATAGTCCCTGACCAAATCCATCTCCAATACTGGATGGGGGACATTTAAGCCCAGAAATGACTCCAAATGTCACAGGCAATCCCTCAGTCACAAGGACCACCACCCATCCCCATGCCCCCAAAACAAGGGTCAAGCTCCATCTACACAGACCCACACACCACTCCCTTCTCAGGAACACAGCCCACACCACACCCGGACGATTCATGGCTGCTCGGAGGGGCCCTGGCTTTGCGCAGGAGCAGACTGGCCCTTCTGCAGACTGTGCCTGAGCCCCAACACACACATCCAAGGCCTGGGCAAGCCCCTTGTGGACACCCAAAGACAGAGAGGGACCAAGTTTCAAATCCCCTGTGAAGCCAGCCCCTTTGATAACTATGAAGCCACTCTCTTTTTCACCAAAGCCAGGCTGGGCTGGGTTTTCTGTCACACACAACCTAAAGAAACCCAACTGCCGCAGGGCCGCCAAGAAATAAAGGCGGGCGCAGCACGGGCTGAAACCACCGCTGTAACAATAAACACCATCTTGGGGGTTTTCCATATTTTAATAGTAAACCTCCCATATATTAGTATAATTTTCTCATTTCCTCAAACCTTCTAAAACCCTCAGCCTCTTCCCTGCTCCAGAAACAAAGAACCATACATGTAAAAGTACTTCAGTGACAATATAAAAATTTTTGCTTAGGGCTCCCTGTGAACAGGCTTCCCAAGCAGACAGACACCCTGGTGGCTCCTCCTTTCAGGGCTATTTATGAGCACACTGTTCCCAGCAAAAGCCACAGGCTACATGGCCACTGGGGTCTTTTCAGGGGACGGTGGCTCAGCCTTGTGGACAGAGCCCTCGCCTCGCTCCGAGTCGCACGCAGGTGAAGGAAGAAGCACCTGGTTCTAGAAGGAGCCCAGGTGTAGAGTCGGACTTGGGTTTAAAACGCAGTGTTTCTGCACACAGGCCTGTTGCCTCCGCTGTATGTGGATGTTGGGGATGGGGGACTGAGCAGGAGAGCAGCTTCAGAAAACTACTGTGCATACCGCTTCCTGAAGAAGAAAAGGGAGGAGGAGACTGAGGAAACAAAGAAGGAAAAAGGGATTGCTGGCCCACCCCCAACAGCATGGCCCCTTTCAGGCAAGTTGTCTTCCCCAGGACATGGTCTCATTAGACAAGGTGGCCGCGACAAAGTGATGGCAGTGGTGGATTTCAACAAATGTCCACGCTGCGCTTCACGGGATCAGGCAAGACCAGGGACACCCTAGAAGACAAAGGATCCTTCCACTGGAGCCAAAATACACATTTCTAACAAGACAGAGGAGAAGTTCAAAATTCTTTTACCCTGAAATGCAATCCTAAAGCCAGGGGGTTGTTTATTCAAAGGCCCTTTCAACAGCTGGTCGGCAGCAAGTCCCAGTGAGCACTGGCAGGCTCCGCTTATGCAAACACAGAGGTGAGGGAGGGGCGCTCAGCTGAACAACCGGGAGAGGGCCCTTCCTTCCTCGCCCTCCCCGCAAAGAGAAACAAACAAAACAAGCCCACAGGGTTAGTTTGTGTTCGAAAGTTCACTTTGGGGGTGTGGTGGTCGGATCCAGAGTCAGCACACCCAGAGACTGGGGTTCAGATGGCAGGTCTACAAATCCTTTGTCTCGGTGCCTTCCAGCGAGTCACCACCCCCTACCTCCATCTGACAGGGCGCCAGCCAGGCCTTCCTGAACACAGGGGCTGGAGAGCCTCCCTGATGCAGCCGGCAGCGCCACCACACCTCACCCTTGTCCTGGGGCTGCCCCTCCCCACCATGCTGGGCCCCTCTGTTCCAGTACCAGCACCCAGGCAGATGAGATCACTCAGAGTACTACATCAAAGCTCCAATGCTCCTCTGCCCCAGAACACAGAAAACCTGGGAAGCAGGCCTGGTGTGACATAAACATTAGAACAAACGTGATGATGTTTGGCCATTTGGCAGCCAACTCTCTGCCTTTGAGTGAAGGAGATACAACGAGTGGTGCTCCCAAACCCAGCGAAGGCGGAGCAGCTACCCAGCTTCCACACGGCACTGCCATGCAGAACAGAGGCCCTGCATTTCCAGATATTTCTACTTATCACAAAAAGCAGGAGATCTAATTTTGCTTTGAAGACTCCCCATTTTTAAGGGCCCTTAACTGCCTCTGTCAAAAACCACTGTGCAGATCAAAATAAAACAACAACAAAAAACTTACCTGCAGGCCATCAGTTCACAACCTATGACTCAGTTTCCTGGCCATGGTGTACTTGGTCACCAAGCATGAGCCAAGCATGAGTGACAGTGAATAATTCAGCTAAAAACCATGCACGCCCTGAGAAATGGAATGATACTCAAGTTCAGCCCAGGCCTCCCTTATACTCGTTCTCCAGCAGTTCCATCACGACTGTAGGGTGCCGACTGCCATTTACACGACCTAACTGCTCCCCTGCCCCTTGGGCACTGCCCCCGCAGGACTGACAAAGTGGCACCATGTTAACTGACCCCAACAACTGTGGGGGTGACCAGTCAACTGTTAACTGACCCCAGCACACGACACACAATGGGTCCAGTGGGGTTTGTGCTTCATACAGCATCACACAACATGGGCCAGGCAACCCCTAAAAGCTCAATGACAATTTTCTAGGGCTTTTCTCTCTAACACTACAAGCATTTTGCCTCTTCCTGCTCCTGGCCCTTGTTTTTCTTCCCTCTCTCAATGCCTGAGGGACAAACCCAATTCTCATTCTTCTAAGACAAAATAATCATACCCCAGGTTTGACCTGTTTGAGGAACCACCTGAAATATGGCCACAGCAGTGCCCTAAGACCTGTTCCTCCAGCTCTCAAGTGTGTTTGCAAAGGGCTGGGTCCATTTCATTTTCATGTGAGGTGCCAGCTAGGAAAGCGAGGCATAGAGCGAGGAAGGCAGCCTCCAGGGGCAGCTCCACTGGTTCAAAAGCAGCAACAAGATGACCAGGAAGGACTCTTTGATGAACCCAGGGGACCCAACACAGCCTGGAAACTCTGGTTTTACTGTGCTTTGGGGCACGTGTCATAAATGACCCTTTCAGCATCTCCCTGCCCCTGCCACAAGTCAGTTCTTGCCACCACTCCCCCCGCTTTGGAGACAAGTACTTCTCAGCAGAAGCTCCCGAACTGTTCACCTCAAGCCCAGATGTTCAGCTGCATGACTGGCATTTCCATGAGTAAATTCCACCTGTATGTCATCATCTCTCACCAAACCTTCTACCCTGATGGACCAA